ATGATCTGATTTATACTTGTAAAAGACAAATTTGATTGCTGTGGGGAAATGAATTGGAAGGGGAAGAAAGGAAGCAGAAAGAACTTTAGTTGTGGCCAGAGGGACAGTAGTTCGGACTGGGAGGTAGCTGGTGAAGTGGTGAAATGTAACCAGGATGGGGACACATCTGGGTGATATAACAGTTATGACTTGCTGATGATTTGGATGTCAGGGGTGGGGTGGGACTAAGAAGAAGGTCCTGAGCGAACATCTGTGCCAATCTTCCTCTATTTTGTATGTGGGTCACCACCACAGCATGGCTGATGAGTGGTGTGTAGGTCTGCACTCAGGATCCAAACCTGCAATCACTGGGCAGCCAAAATGTAGCGTGCAAAATTAACCACTACGTCACTGGGCCAGCCCCTAAAAAACTGTTTTGGTCTATCAATTTCTGAGACAGTGAAACAGATGTATTAAAGTTTTCCACCAACATTATAGATTGACCTATGTTAATTTCTTCTTGTATTTCTAATGTCTTTTGCTTTTTGAATTTTTAAGTTCAGTATTAAGTGAATAAAGGTTCTTGACTCTCCTGCCTTGTTAGTGAATTGTGATTTTTATCATTTGGAAATAGCCTTCTTTCCCTTTAATGTTGTAGGTATCTTTTTTGTAAATGGCATATAGCTGGATTTATTTTTAAACTCCAAATCAAAGCTTGGTTTTTTAATATGGGGACTTATTCACATTTTTTATTGTTGATATGTTTAAATATATTCATGTTATCTTGGTTTCTGTTTTCTATTCTGGTTGCTTTTTTGCTGTTTCTTGTAGCTTTTTTCCCCTTTTCTTGTCTTTTGCTAGATTGGTCAAGTTTTCTTCATTCCATTTGTTTTCCTTGAAGTGTTGGCAAAGTTATGTATTTAGTTCCAGTTTTTTTATACAGTTAACTTAAAATTTGAACTCTCATTGTTATACATGTTTTTTTATCAGCGTCTAGAATTAATCCATCTTTATATCTTCTCATTAAGCAAGAAATTTGTACTCTCTGACTTCCTCCTTCCTCCAATGCTCCCTCAACAGGTATAAGTAATTTTACCAAATTAGTTTTATTCTAGTTAAGTTTTACTGTTTTTTTTTTCTTGACTCACTTTTTTCCTCTTATCTCACATTGTCTTTGTCTTTGGGTTACTTTTTGTCATTGTTGTTTTGTTCAAGTGTATTTTTGAGTACTGCAGTTATTTTAGAGATAGTGTGTTTGTGGCAAAACTTCTGAGTCCTTATGTGTTCAAAAATGTCTCCAATTTGCTCTCACACTTGATAGTAAGTTTGCCTCAGTATAGACTTCTGGGTTCAGTCATTTTCCCTTCAGAATTTTGAAGATACTGCTCTAGTGTCTTTAGTACCCAGGGCTGCTGATGAGAAGGCTGATGCTAATCTGTTTCTTGTTTCTTTGTAGATTTTATTTATATGGAATTTTTCAGAATCATGTTCTTTATCTGTGTGTTTTTAAAATTTCACCAGCATTTGTCAGTTGGCCCTTTCAACCTATAATTTGTGCTTTCTCAGGGAAATTTTATTTTTTTTCCTTCATGATTTCTCCTTGTACTCTTTCTGTACCTTCCTTCTGGAGCTCCTATTAGATGGATTTTAGAACTGGATTAGTTTTGTCAAGGGAAATAATCCATAACCAATCTATAAATGAAAATTTGGGTGAGTTTATTCTGAGCTGTAATCTGAGGACCATGGCCCGGGGCCTTTCTTCCTGAAGGAAGAAAGAGCACCGAAGAAGTGGGGTGCACAGAGTGGTTATATACCCCCAAACAAGGTGTTTCACATATGATTGAAATGTCCCTCCCACAATAGTCACAAGATTGCCCTGTCGGCACAGCACTTGATAGACTCAGCAGGTAGTGGGCCTGCTATCTTGGTGGGTGTAGCAGGAGGCAAGTCTATTGTCTCGAGCTGGGCGGTCACAGGTGAGCGCAGCAATCAGTTTCTAGCCTAAGGAAAGATGCTTAATCCTTAAGGAGATGCCAACGTTGGGAGGGAGAGGGAAGTTGCACCTTTATCTCAAGGGCCTTTGTTCTTCCATAGGGAATATCTAAAGCAGATATACAATGCATGCTCAACGGCCATGGTCAGGCCCTTTTGGGAAGACAAGGTCAGGCGGAATTAGGTTTATACCAAATGGCTTCCTCATATTCTCCAATATATCCTATTGCTAGCCATTTTTATTTGTCAGTCTTCATACTGCTTAAGTTCTTTCTTATATTTTCTATTTACTCTGTTCTTTTTATTTCAAATTTTGGGAGATTTTCCTACATTTATCTTTCAGATCACTAATTTGACTTTCAGTTGTTTAGGTTCCATTGATCATTCAGTCATTCAACAGATATTTAGTGAGTTCCTACTTTCTGCCAGGGATTATTTTAAGTGCTGAGATTCAGTGGTGAATGAAATGCTCTCACTGGATTTTTATTTTCCAATAACTCGTACCCTCTGAAAACTCTTTTTGTATGTAGGCAAAATATTTCAAATATCCCTGAATATACCAAATGGACTCTTCTCTTTTTTTTAAGATGAAAATTTTATTCTGATCTCTTTTCTTCTAGGTCAGGTCTGTCAGTTCCTTTTTGTCTATTTGACTCTCATGCTGTTGATTTTCCTTAATGTCTGGTGATCCTAGGTTATTCTTTGCTTTTATAAATGAAGAACTAGGTTGATTATTGTAGGTAAGAGGCATGGGTTTTATCTGCTTTTGTGTGGGTGGGCTATCTGATAGACCTCTCCTCTGAATGCAAGATTTGATAGAAGTTCTCTATAGGTAGGAGGGGAATGCCCCCAGGAAACATTTAAAGATAAATGGGTGTGGAGCAGGCAGGTAGGACAGTTTGTATCAGTCAGAATTCTTAATTATAAATAACAGAAGCTGGCTCTAGTAAATTTATGCAGAAAAATAATCTATTGGCAGGCTACTGGGTAGCTCACTGAATTGACCAGAAGAGTGAAAATCAGGCTTGAAAAACCAACAGGAACCAATGGGGCCACAGCCAAGGATATTCTGGAGGAACAGTCTGGTTAGGCCATTGCCATCAGCCTTTGTGAATATCACTCCAGATTCAGGTCCTGGGTGGAATAGCCAGCACTCCAATTGCCAACCAGAAGCAGGGTTATCTGCCAGGTAGCCAGTAACCACATGTGGTAGGCAGAAAAATGCCTCCAAAGATGCCCATGGCCTAATCCCTGTGGACTTCTTCCCTTATTTGGCAAAAGGGACTTTGTGATTAAATTAATCTGAGAAAGGGTGATTAACCTGGGTTATCCAGGTGGGTCCAAGAACATGATTCCTTAAAAGTAGAGAAACTTTCCCAGCTATGATCAGAGGGAAACGTGACTATGGAAGCAGTTGGGGAGATGCAATGTTGCCGTCTTTGAGGATGGAGGAAAGAGGGCCATAGGCTAAGGAATATGATGGACACTAGTAGCTGAAAAATGCAAAAACCAAATTCTCCCCTAGTCTCCAGAAAGGAATGCTGACACCTTGATTTAGCCTTGGACTTCTGACCTCTAGAACTGTAAAATAATAAATTTGTGTTGTTTTAAGCCATTAAGTTTGTGGAAATTTGTTATGGCAGCAGTAGGAAACCAATACACCTCACATATGCAGTATTTCCCTCCGTGATGCTCAAGTCAGGAAGGTTCAGGCTGGTGGCACACTGTGCACGTTGTCTTCCTTGCAGAGCTCTCTCCTAACACTTCCTCCTGCACACACACCGCCCATCCCCCACCCACGTCCCTCTGTCTCCTTCCCAGGCCAAACGCTTCTGATGTTTTCTTTCTGCCAGTTTAGGGCTGGAGGAAGACCAATGGGCCCTATGTTCTGGATATAGCTCTTTAATAAATTATCCTGGACGGTTGATTCAGCGCCACCTTCTATATTATTGGAAATGTCCCTCTGAGTTGGGAATCTCTCTGGACTTGCTCTTATCTTCCCATTATTTTAACCATTTATTTGATTCATTTTCTGCAGCTAGTTTTGAGATGTAATTTTTCTTCACTCTTGTCAATGTTGACTTAACTTCTATCTTCCAGATATTTCAAATTTTTCTGATAATAGTGCCCTTCCCTGTTTACCAGGGCTGTGTGGATTTCCTCTTTAAAAACAGCACTTTCCCTCTGTCATGGTAAGAAAATTTGGGTGGAAGGGGACATGGTCTTATGAGCTCAGTTCAACATCTTGATCCAATCATTGCCTGTTATTTAGGCTGATTGTTCCGAACCTGGGGCTCAGACAGAATCCAAAGGACTAGAAAGTTCCCTGAAAAATGAGCTATTCGGTCCAGTCTCAGAGCAGGCCATGGGAGAAAAATGGGTTAATGGCGGATGAGCTCTAGGGTGGTCCTGGAGGAAGCAGGTGGAACGCAGGGGTTGGGACAATCCAGGGGACATCAGGGAAGTCCATTAACAGGAAAAGACAAAACAGACCTGGGATCAAACCCCGATTTTGCGCCTTGCCAACTCTGTAAGCTTAGGCAAGTTCAGCTTCTTTGAGCTTCCGTTTCTTCACTTGTAAAAAGGAGATAACACCATCCTGCAAGGATTAAACGACATAATACTGGTAAAATGCTTACCATCGGCTTGGCAGACAATAATATTAGTGTATTTACTGAGTGCATTTACATGGATTAATCTTATTTAAGCCTGATTCTTAAGCCTATTACACAGATCAGGAAACTGAGGAACGGAGAATTTAAGTAAGCTGCTTAAGGCTGTAACCATTAAGTGGCAGAGCAGGGATCTGAACCTGGGCAGGCAGGCTCTGTCATCTCTGCACACACAAGGCTGCAGTTTACCCCGTAGGGGAGGGCTACTGGGCTGAGTGCTCTTTGGCTTTTCCGTTTCCTGTGCAGTTTTGGGGTAGGGAGCCAGATTAACGTTAGGAATTGGGAAGGGATTGAGTCAACAAGAGGGGACTAAGTGGTTCCAGTAATAGGCCAGCTGGAGCTAGCAGATCATTTGTAGGTTATTCTTCAGTATCCATGTTTGTTGGCCTGTTTGCTTTTATTAGGTATTTATTTTGTGGTGGTAACATTTACATAACAGTGACGTGCACGGGTTGTAAGAGCACAGCTCAGTGAATTTTCACCTAGTTATGCGCCTGTGTAATCACCATCCAGATCGAGATATAGCAAGTTTCTAGCCCTTTAGAAGGCTCCCACGTGCCCTTGCCTGCCCCAGTCAACACTTGGCCGAAGGTAACTGCTGGACTAACCTCTACCATCACAGGTGAGTTTAGTCCGTTTCTGAACTTCATACAAGTGGAACATACAGTTTGTGCTCTCTCATACCTGGTTTCTTTTACTCATCCTGTTTGCTTTTTATTCCATAAAGAACCAGATGCTTTATAGGCCGTAAATCTGTGAGCAGATGACCACACTCCTGCGCAGACAGCTGAGATCTCTCACCCAAGGGCTCTGTACACAAGTATAGCCTTTCATGCATCGTGGGAGCCGGCTGTGGGGGATGGGAGGAGGAGGAAAAACCTGCCTGGGCGGGACTGCCATCTGCTCAACACCGTGAAGAGGCTCTCAGGACTCCCAGGGGTGGATGCTCTTGGCACACTACAGGTGTGAAGTACAGTGAATGTCAGTTCCTTTTCTCTTTCTGGGGGTCCCCATGAGTCAGGTTTCAAGATGGGACAACTGCCTAAGTTAGGTTGACGGTGGCACGCTCTTCCCCTCTTACAGCTCTTGTGAGGTGGAAGACTCTGAATTCCTCTGTACACTTGGGTGCAAGAAATGCCCACACTTCCCTCCAGCTTCTGGGAACTCATCTTCTCCGGTTTGGGGCATAGCTGTCTCCCCTGTGAAGCATCGCCTTCCATCTCTTCCCTTTTTAAGAGGACTTCAGCTTCTCTTCTTGAAGAGCCAAGAACTCTCACAGTCCTGGTTGGGGCTTTTTCCAGGATAGTTTTTTTGTTTTTTTTTTAAGATTTTATATTTTTTCCCTTTTTCTCCTCAAGCCCCCCAGTGCATAGTTGTATGTATTTTTAGTTGTGGGTCTTTCCAGTTGTGGCATGTGGGATGCCGCCTCAGCATGGCTTGATAAGCGGTGCTGCGTCTGCGCCCAGGAACCAAACTGCTGAAACCCTTGGCCGTAGAAGCGGAGCGCATAAACTTAACCACTCGGCTGCAGGGCCGGCCTGACCCCTCCAGGATAGTCTTTGAAACGCAAAGAAGCTCTTAAAGTTCTTACACCTGAGCATAACAGGATCCTGAGCCTCAGGACAAAAAGCCAACGTTCTGTCCAGAGAGGAAAAGGTGGGGAAAATTGCCCTTTCCTTCTATCAAGTAAGTCTCCACCATAAATAAAAACAGGGCACAAATGACCACGCCAGTGATCTATCCTGTTCCACAGTCCTGGGTTCCAAATCCCCCCTCTGCAACCAACCACAGGGGAAACCTGGCAAAATAACGCCACAGTCCTCTCAGCCCTGGTTTCTTCAATTACAAAATGGTGCCGATGCCAATCATACAAGGATGTCGTCGTTAGTAAATGAAATTAGTTTTTTTTAAAGCTCGATACCTAAGGTCCTAAGAAGTGTATTGTCTTTTCTTTCTTCCTACAGAAGGAATTACCTGGTAGCACGGAAGTATGAACATCTGAATTAGGTGGTCCGGGTGACAGAGCTCTGAGAACAGTGATGCACTTTGCCAGGTAGGTGGGAAGCAGGCTGGGGCTCAGAGGATTTTCTCCTTTTCTCTTCATGGTTCTGAGCAGGTAAGTGGTGTGACTTAGAAGGGGCTGGGAGGTATCTCTGTGCTCTCAACAGTTGTGTACAAACCTCACTGAGCATTAGAATTACAGGAAGGATTTTAAAACATTCCTACCCCAGCCGCTTACTTTCTCCCACCATGGCTGAGAGTCTGATTTCGTAGGGCAGGGGGAGAAGAAAATGTTAATTAAAAAAAAAATCCGCAGGTGATTCTGATGACCAGTAAGTTTAGAAACTACTGTTCTAAAATATATACCTGCCTGAAAATCCAATAGCTTAAAATATTTCCATATTATCTCAGTGGGGGGCATAAAAAGAGAGGGATGGGGCAGTCAGGAGTCATCTCCACTACCCAGTAGAAAAAACTTTTGTGGGACTGTCTAGATTACATGAACTTTGTCACATACATTGTAAGGCCTAAATCTTGATTTCTTTTCCGAGACAAAATTTTCATCAGGGCAGAGGAACAAAATCTACCAGTACCTTGTTCAAGTAGTCAATACCACCCTCATTCCCCATACTTTAACCAGGCTACACCTGTAACCGGGAATTTTTATTGCATTAAAGTAAATCAGAATGATCAAGAATGCTGGAGACTTTTTCTCTTCTCTGTATCCCCTCCTTAGTTTCTGTTATTGAAGGCATATTAATACCTACTTCTCTAAGGTGTAACCTCTGAGCATTCTGATAAGAGAGAATATGAGGAGAGGCCCTTAGGACTGTGAACTGGTAGCTGAGAATATCTATTAGAAGTAGTTTAATCAGACTGCTTTCCTGACTGCTAGATTACATCAGCACACTGAGAGTACGGGAATGAGCATTTTGATGGAAGACAGCTGGGGGGATTAAGAAAATCTAAAATTCTAGTAATGTTTTATTACATATTGCTGTAATTGAAACCTGCATTTAGGAATTTGTAATTAAATTTGGGAGCATTAAAATTTAGAGAAAGGGCAGAAATGATAAAGGCTCAGGCAAGCCAGAGGACACGGGCACTGTATAAGCCTAGGTAGGGGTTGAAGAGGGATGGAGCCAGAAAGTAAGAAGATCGTGGAGGTAGAAAGATACTAAAAATAGGTATTATTTCCTTCCACCCCTTACGGTTCTTGCTGGGCAATTCCCATCCCAACTTTTCCCACCTCTTTTCACTATTTCATCCTGGTAGAAGTGAGAACCAAACTAGTTTCTTGAGCTAGTTTCAAAGTGACTCAAGTAGAAGTCTAGGAGATGCTTAGATATAGCCAGGAAAATATCTAGACGGATCAGATCACAGTTTTCTCCTATATTGTTTAGATGTCTTATTGGGGGCCATGCTCATGGATCTTTAGCAAACAATCTAGAGCTTAGGGGCTATCTTCCTCACTTCTATTTTTGAGAAAATTTGAATACTGTTTGTGCTGTTTAGTGTGTATATGTGTGCGTGTGTGCATGCATTTGTTTTGTAGAGGGTTGGGCTAATGAAGTCATACTGGAGCAAAACTGGCTTACTGCTGTTAAGAGGTTTGATTTTTGCTTTTACTGTCATTTTTAGCAGGCAAACGAAGTCTAAAAATTAAGTTTCTTAGTTCTAAGTACTCCAGGTTTATACCTTCTCAAAATGAACAGAGGCTTTACTGAAAGAATAAATGACTATAAGTCTTCATAGCCTGTCATTTTCCCCTGTCATCCCCTCAGATTATTTTGAGGTATTTGAAGATTTGAAGTAAATCTCAGATGTCATATCATTTCTGTTATAAATATTTAAACATATCTCTAAAAGATAAGGATTCTTTTAAAAAACATAACCACATATTTGGATTAAGTGGCTCTAGCAAAATAATGATGTGTACTCTCAAAAAAAAAAACAAACCCATAACCATAATACCTTTATCACTCTGAAAAATATTGACAAAAAGCCTTTAATATCATTAAATATAAAGTCAGGTTTAAATTTGCTCTATCATTTCTGGATTTTGCTGATTTTGTTTAATAAGTCCCTCTGTTCCCTGTACTTCCTGTAAGCTGAGTGTTAGATCTAGAGGTTTAATCTGATTTGCTTTGTTTTTTGGCAAGAACACTTCATAGTGGTGTTGTATATTTCCATAGGAAGGCATATGATGTTAGCAGACATTAATTATCATTGTCTAGAGGGTTTTTTATTTTTGACCACCCCTCAACCCAACTATCAAGCTACACCCCCTCAGACACACATCACATATACCCTCTCCATTGTACTGTTTTAATTGATTTGAAAATGGATACTTGGTTGTAAGCTCATTTCACAGACATAATCTCCTTGGAAAATAATCAGAAGGCTCCATTAACCTTTGGTATACGTAAATAGAATTTTTCTCAGCTCCCGCTTATGGCAATATTGTTGGTTGACTATTCAACTGCCATCTCTCCCACCCTTCTTATGTGCAGGCAGAGAATTTTGATGGAAGACGACTGGGGGGATCAAGCAAATCTAAAATTCTAGTAGTGTCTTATTATATATTGCTCCCACCTCCCACTCAAGAGGCTGATCACCTGTTCACTTTTCAAAGCCTGACTGGTTTCTGGGGAACTCTTTCTTTCCTTCTTAATGAAGGTACTCTTCTCTTTGTGTCTACATGATGTGTGAGATTGTTGTTTGGAGCTGCAGTGGCCAACTTCTGACCATAGGGGTCAAGCTTGAGGATTAACACCAATGTGCCAGGATGATGGGATGGGAATGCGGGAAGGGTCCAGGTCCTCAGTAAGTCATTGAGCCACTGAAATAGCCAGTCCTGCAAATGCCGTATCTCCAGACTTCTTATTATGTGAGATTGTAAATTTAATTCACTTTTAGTTGATCATTTGCAGCTGTGAACAACCTGACACACCAGGAATATTCAAATGAATCTCTTTTATGTTTCTGCTTACTATTTAAAGCCCTGCTATAGAGAAAAAAACCTATAGATCTTGACCTTGAGTTACCCATAAAATCAGTCTTTCTTATCCACTCTAATAGTGCTAAAATGATGAGACAGATAGCACAAGGAGACATCAAAATTAACTTATTTTGATGTCATATTTTAAATAAAATCCGGTTTTGATAGGATATAAGTTGAAAAAGCACACAGCAACTTAAAAGTGGAGATGGAGGTCTAGAAACTTCTATCTTGGTGATAGAAATTGGAATTAAAATATTTTCCAAGGATCATTCTCAAAGTACACAGCTAAGAGTTGACTTTGAGTGTTGGCAACAACAGGAAACTTTTCTCCTATTACGTTATGCTGGACATAACATTCTCATTAAGTAGGAGAATTGGAATTTTTGAATCTCCTCCTTTGTAGCAAAACAATTCCCAAGTTTCAAATTGGATGCACAGATTTAGCAGGCAGAGTGATGAGGATTTAATTTAAAAAATAGTATGATGTTTGAAATCTGTTAAAGCAGCCCTGGAACTGAAACAGTAAAAGATAGCTGATGGTCTCTCCTATGCTTGCTCTTGCTGCTGCTGCTGCTTTTTATTTTTATTGAGATATAATTGATGTATAACATTATGCTCATGCTTCTTGTATTTTGCACTCCCAGACTGTTGTTGGAAGCAGAGGTTCATTGTTTCTTGGTTAGTAGATTGCACCTTTGTCTTTGCAGACAAGGTGATGACAACAAGTGGTTCCAGGAAACCCTCAGTAACAAACCCTCTTTGTGTTGTCTAAGGAAGCCCTGGCTCATAATTGGATGACATCAGGAGGCTTCCCACCCACTCCTCTGGATCTGTCAAGGCACAGAGTCTCATTGTTAATGACTTTCACTCTGAACAGCTGCAGGCTCTTGTTGGCTTCATTCACTGTGAAGATGGTGGTCATACATCCCAGATTTGAAATAATCTGTCCTGTTTTCAGACCTTGTGTCAGGCCATCTGCCTTGGTATCTCATTAGGAAAATATGATCACTTTAAGGATGGCACAATCTCTTCCAACTTCTCGGCCCTCTTGGAGGCTCACCCCATATGTCTCGTTGTCTTGGACGCCTTTTTAGGTGATGTCCCTTCTCCTTTGGCCAATTAGCAACATTCCCCATGCATCTTCAGTGGAAATGCCCTCTCTTTAGGGATCCTCCCTTGAAGAGATTTCAATCTAGTGAGTACTAAAATTAGACAAAGTAAGGCAGGAGACTACCTCCTTATGAAAAGCTACCTGATCAGAATTCCGAGTTAAATGTCGATTATCAGAATAAAGTTCAAAGCCTTTGAAAATGCATAAGGTGATGCATTTGAGCAGATGAATATAACCTATCTTGGAAAAAATCACTGATGGGAAGAAGGCAGGGTTAGGGTTCAGCTTTGAAAGTTAGAAAAGAGCAAAGAACAACTTCAAGCCCCCTGGGGACAGGCCTGCTGTCTACAGATGGTGTGTCAGGCAGTGGGCCTACTGTTTACTTTGACACTGTGGCTTGGAGAACATACCAGAATCTCTGGTATCTTCTGTGTACTTAGTGCAATGAGCCATTACACCAAAGGTGCTCAGGAGATACTTGCTGAACTACATTGACAAGTAAGTTTTACTTGGATCGACTGTGTTTGCTACACCAGATAAATGCATTTGCAACCATCTTTCTGGTTCAGAGTATCAAAGCATGCTTGAAATGCCATAAAGAATGTTTTTACTTGAGGATAGTTTTTTTAGGGAGGTAGGACTTTGATTTTCCTGATTTTTTTTTTTTTTTACCTATGTAGCAAGAATATTAGAAATAAAATTTAGGAGAGGGCAGGCAATCCTTGGGTGGAAGGAGATTAATAATGGCTTGAGACAGCTGAATAAATAACATTTATTTGGCTCCCTGGGCCTTACCCAAGCCTTTTTACAGCTACCAGGTATTTTATAGACACATTTTTCTATGAAGTAGTCAAACTGTAAACAGAGTGAACCCTGACTGATAGTCACGTCTTTAAAAAAAAAGAAAAGAAAGAGAAGAAAAGACAAGAGAAGAGAAGCACCGCCATAATTTTCCTAGTGGAAATGTCTTTTGTCTTTGGAAGCACAGAACCAAGGGTGTGAGGGCAGATCTGGAGCTGTGGACTGGCACATGGCCTTTGCTCTGCTTTTAACCCATCCTGATGTTGGGCTCCGTGTAGGTCTGTCCCACACGTATACCCAAGGTGCTCTGAGAGGAAACCCTGTACCCACTGTACCCCAAGTCCAATCCCACAGTGTTTTGTACCCAGAATGATAGGTGCTCAGCAAATATTTGTTGGTAAATAAAGCATCATAGCCATTTAGCAATATTTGTGAACAGTGTGTATCTTCTCCATGTTTATAAGTTCCTTGGGTCTAGGATTAAATCTTATGCACCCGAGTACCTCCCAGTATAGAAATGTGTGCACTCAGTGTTTGTGTCTGAGTGAGTGAAGGAAGGGTCTGGTTCACGAACACCATGGGGAGCCTGCCTTGTTAACCTTCACACCCACGTGACTGGCAGTGTCTACTGAGCAACAGAAATGTTCTCCCACTGCTTTTCAAAGTCTCACAGATTTATGATAAGAGTTGGAAAAACACCGGAGAGACTTTTAGGCCAAACTTTATTTTATAAATGAAAAAGTTAGGTCTGGAGAGAGGGAGCGACTTCCCCAAGGTCATATAGCTAGTCTTCAGGAAAGCCAAGAAAAAATTTGAGTCTCCTGGAAAGTGATTTTTCTTCTCGAAATATTTTAAAGTTTTTTTTAAAAGAGCTTCATTTCACTGCTATATATATATATGTCCTAAAATAGTTGTTATAATCAATTTCTCCTCAAGAAAACTCTAAAAGAATTTAGCTAGTTATTTCCCATGTGACACGTTTCAAGATTTTAAGAAGTTCTCACCGAGACATCAAGATAAAATGTCACATGCCAAAGAGAGGAGCCATAAAAAAATAGAAGTCTTCAAGGGGTTATCCAAAAAGTGGTAATATGACTCAAATCCTTTGCCTACATTCAGGTGAAAAGACGTTGGGGCTCTAAGGGGGGCTCAATGAATAACACCTGTCTTTCCCACTCAGGTTCTGAACAAATTGAGAAAGAAGACAAAAGGTAGCAGATAGAAGCCAAAATATCACCTTCGTTACTGAAAGAGGTCAAGCTGGAGGGCAAGGCATAGTGTGGCAGTGAGGGCAGCTGTTCCCCGAACCCCTAGTCTAGGCTGAGCTTCTGAGCAGAACAGTTACAGAGCAGGTACACTGCCAAGAGGAACAAGAGGGGCCAGGCTGATCTTTCTCTGTGAGTGAATCGTGTTGGTTAGTGGTGCCAGGAAAAGCCTAGAGAGTTACAGCTAGTGCAGGACACTTGGCAAGAGCAGGGAACAGCCATTCCCCATGACAAAATGTCAGTGGGGTTGAAGATTGGGAGGGAAGGTTTGTGAAGAGGGTTTCTCTGGAGGTGGGTAGTCTGAAAGCCCCTCCCACCCCAAAGTTTCCTTCTCATGGAAAACGCTTCATTCAGACAGCTTTACACTCATCTCCTGCAGCTTGGATGGTGCTGGTGACAGGTCTTTGGCTCCCACCTGGAAACTCTAAGGAAAGAGAGTTCCAATAGTGGGAACGAAGGAGAGGTGGCTCGACTGGGTGGGCCAGTGTTGGCAGAGAGAGAGAGAGAGCGGGAGAGAGAAATTTAGCTCCTGTCCAACAGGGCCACCTAGAGGGGCTCTTAGGTTTCAGCAGGGAGCTTTAGTTGATCAAGGGAATTTCAGGTCCCCAGCAATGGGGGAAGGCGGGTCTCTGAAGAGCCGTGAGAGCACCCCATACCAGGAAGAGGCAGCTTTCAGTACCGTCGCCTAGCCTAGAAATAGAGAAGCCACCTTAACAACCAGTCAATTAAGAAGTCTTCGCCCTCCTCTCGCTTTGACCCTGGAACGAACCATGGCTAGTGAAATGGGGGCAGACAAGTAGAAATAGTAGGGGGAGCAATGGAAAAGATGGGCTCTGCTCCCTTCCCGGCCTCATGACAGGAGAAGGCCCCAGAGGAGTGAAGAGAACAGTTTCACCTTTGAATCTGATCCCGGGTGTTGATTATTACACAAGTTCGGATATTCTAACTTCTTAACTGGACTATGTTAGAGACTTAAAGTGGCTATTACCAAAGAGTGGTTTAAAAAAAAGTCGTAGGATTATGGAGGTTTTCATTCAGGGGCAAGGCAAGAACTTCCCCCCCCCCGAATAATTTTAAAAGAGACAGTGGGAAACAAAAACAAAATTGCTTTCTGATTTGAATAAATTATTTTCGTCTTCAAATCGAACAGCCTATCGATTTTATTTTGTTGGTTTTGATTTCTCCAGCCCACCAACATGGGATTGTTTGTGGTATCTTTACTTTTACTAAGCTTGCTGCCTAAACCAGCACGTGGGACATTAAGAACACCGGCAATTCCAGCTAACCGAAGGCTGAATCCCACTGACGGCACCTGCTACATTTTCCCCAGGTGGCATGGTGCATGCACAGCAACTTTGGGGCTGCTCCTCCAGCAGGTTATGAACACAAGAAGGAAAATGATGCACACATTCTCAGTAGTACCCGTGGTCTTTCCACGATGTCTTCTCAAAGTACTTTTGCAGCAAATAGCACTGCTAATTAAACTGGTTGGTGAGAAACCAAATGAAATACAGTCATGCATCGTGTACCGACAGGGATGTGTTCTGAGAAACGCATCGGTAGGTGATTTTATCCTTGTGCGAACATCATAGAGTGTACTTACACAGACCCAGATGGCATAACCTACTACACACCTAGACCGTAGGGTACTAATTGTATGGAACCACCATCGAATACTTGGTCATTGACTGCAACGTCGTTATGTGACTGTATGTTAAAAGTCTCCATCTAATCCTGCCCAAAGCCAGGCAGAGGAGGCCAACTTGAGTTCTCATCACCATCTCCCAATGCCCTTTGTTGTTTGATTAGCATAGTTTCCCTCTGTAAGATATTAATGATTCCCAAAGCTGCTTTAAGAAGTTTTTTTATTATAAGTGAAGTGATTGAAAACTGCCAATCACAAATCTGGCAATCCCCTCTCATGAGCTTAAAGACTGTTCTGATTACGATAATTACATTTTTATGAATATCCTACCTAGAGAGTAACAATTTTACTGTGTCAGACTTCACCACACAAAGATGCACCAATTTCATCTGCAATGAAAAATAGAGCCTAATAGCACAGTTATATTTATATGATAGTCAAACATCAAGATGCAACATAAGTACTTCAACTGAAAGAATTCTGATCATAATTTAACCTTGAGATGATGATTAAGGGTGAAGGCTTGTCAGCTTTCATGAATTATTTTTTCATGATTTTTCCTGTTTTGATTTTTAATACTCCATAATTAACACATTAACATTTGGATTCCACCCCCACCCCCCATGATATGTGGGTGACAACAAAAAAAGATTAATAGATACAACTAATGGTCAAAGAGAGAATTAGGTAATTATAAGACATAGTCATGTTTCAGGTACAGTAGTGCCATGCCAACTGGTTTTCTATTTAGTCAGCTAAGTTTCTTCAACCATGATGCAAATAATGGACACAGTATTTAGGTTGGATGCTATAAATACATATTAGTTTAATAGAAAGAAAACTGTTTCATTATTACAGATAGTGAACATTGGCAGTCAAAAAGTGGGGTCTGAGAGCTAGCAGCATCAAGCATTGCCTGGAAGCCTGTTGGAAATGCAAATTCTCAGGCCTCACCCCAGACATGCTGAATCAGAATCTATGGCAGTAGGGCTCAGGACTCTGTCTTAACAAGCCCTCCAGATGGTTCTCTGAGGTTTGAGAACTACTGCTCTAGCATCTTGTAACTATTTCCATTGGCTACAGTGAAACATTGGCAAGTGTGGAGGCTGCAACCCCAGCAACACTATAGGCATTTCCTGTTAACTGCAGGGGTGCGCGTTCCAGGGCAGCTTAAGTGAACAGGCTGTTTTGGTCAAGGGGTTCCTCTTAAGTGGATTTTGTCTTCTCTTTAAATCCCCTAAGGTCATAAGCCATAGTGTCTTCCCATCTAAACCAGTCATAATTGTTAGTCCCTCCCCCCTGGTAGAAGGGATGTTTATGGTACCCTTTGTAATGTCAGAGGATTTCCTCTACCTGAATCCTTTCCCTCTGTTTCTACCATTTTTTTAAAGTCACTTTGATTTGCTTAAAAAATTTTAACATCCAAGATGATACTCTTCTATATTTCTTTATGGCAGTACCGGCGCTATCATCTTTTGATAGCACTGTGGGTCAAAATTATTTACCAGAACTCACCAGAAAATGGTATGGAGAGAGGCCACACATTGTGAGCACACTTAAGTCAAGAAAACTTGGTAGAACATATAGTTAGGACAGAGTGCTGATGCTCTCTGGCCAGGACTGTGCAGTGGTGTCATTAGATAATTTTTCTTTAGCTGAGAAGGTAAGGTAGCTCTTAGCATGAGAGAAATGTATCACAGAGTTTGGTAATAGACAGATAGATTGATAGAGATATAGATAATTTCTTAAGGAATGTATTTTAGAGACAAATAGCATTCTAATGAATCAGCATGCATGGGGCAGTGTTAAATGGAGTAAATGAATATCACAAAAAGTGAATGCCATTTTATGATTTAATCTCTCCCTTATTTCATGTATTCTAAATATATGAATACATTCTTTTAAAGGCCCAAATGCTAGAGTAAAACCTTAGAACAGAGATTCTGAGTCCTGAATGTGTGCATCAGCATAACCTTGAAATTTATTAAAAATAGAAATTCCCATGCTTGTTTCAGCACATATGCTGAAATTTGAGCAATACAGACAAGATTAGCATGGTCCCTGCACAAGGATGACATGCAAATTTTGAAGCATTCCATATTAAAAAAAAAATTTCCTAGGTTCCAAGAGATTTTTATTTTGGTAGGTCTGGGGTAGAGCCTGGGAACCTGTATTTAACAAGCATCCAAGGTGATTCTGGTGCAGGTGGTCCTTGATTTTCATCTTGAGAAAGCCTGCAAATCGAACTCAGAAAGATGAGGAAAACAATGTGAGTGTGAAGCAGTAAGGCTCTACCAATTTCATGGGAGTTGTACCTTCTTTGGATCCTCATGATGCATTATTTCAAGCTTAGATAGCATGTGTATTTTGCCTAGTTCTAAAGTTATTTGTGTACTTGCCTCAGCCCCCAAAAGACTGTAAGCCCCCAGAAACACAGGAATTATGTGGTACTTCATGTCTTCAGCTGGACTCAGCCCATGCCTTCTCATTATTGACAAGGTGCTCAATAATATTTGTCGAATGAAGACAGTAAGGGTAAAAATGCAGTTCAAAGGGGGTGATTGAAACAGTCAGAGAGGGGTTTAGTCTTTGTCAGTCTCACCCACCAGCTGTGAGACCTTTGAGCCACTTTATCTCTCAGTGCCTCAGCCCTGCATCTGTAATGTGGGAGATGAGTTTCTTCCTCCTTCACAGGGCTGCTGTGGGGTAAAAATGAGGTAATGTATGTGGAAATGCTATGAAATTGTAGAGCCACTTATTTCAATGTTTTTAAATATGGCTATCTTTTTGCTCTAACCTCATCTTCCCTGTGAATGAGTGCTAGTTTATATGACTGAGGCAAACAACACAAGGTTTACTTCTGGCCATTATGGGAAAGCAAATCCTACTATTTGGAATTTAACAAAACCACATGACTTTTCTTTTTCTTTTAGATTTTTTTTTTTAAGTGAGGAAGATTTGCCCTGAGTTAACATCTGTTGCAAGCCTCCTCTTTTTTTGCTTGAAGAAGATTAACCCTGAACTAACGTCTGTGCCAGTCTTCCTCTGTTTTGTATGTGGGATGCCTCCACAGTATGGCTGATGAGTGGAGTAGGTCTGCACACAGGATCCGAACCTGTGAACCTGGTCTGCCAAAGTGGGGCATGTGGAACTTTAACCACTTGGCCACGGGTCCAGCCCTCACATGACTTTTCCAACTTCATGGAGAGTAAAAAATAAATTCAATACAAAAATTTATAATATGAATGGAAGAAATATCCCACAAATAATGGACAGCACAAGGGAAGGGAGATACACAGGGGAACAAATAAATCACTCACATTACTGTTTGACTCTGAGATGGGGACTTTCAGAAATCTAAGTGTTTAATGAACTGATGGCTGAATTTTAGTGGCTCCCCTGATATCACCTTAAAAGGTAGCATGTGTCTGATGAGCTGAGCTGTAAAGTACAGGTATATAGCATGCCTTGAAAAACCTCAAAGTAGGGATTTTGACCACCTGCTCAAGCTGTAAAGAACCAAGAGTCAGTGTGCCCCAGGTGGTCCAGGACTAGAGCCAGTCCATAGCCCACTGAGGAAAATAAGGACAATGCAGCCAGTTTTCCATGAAGCTATGTTTATTCAATTGAGCCTACTGCCTTTTATTCTAAAATTAGGTCTTCCCTTATTTTGGCTCATTAAAATGTCCTTGCCTTTATGAAATGTCAGTATTTTTTAAATTGGGAGATGAAAAGTTGACAATGACATTATGACTCTCCATTCAAATTTGTTTACTTAGAATTGAGTCTGAATTCTGGATCCATTCAAAGCAAGTGGCTTGAGGCAAATTTCTTTTTTTCTTTTAAAGATTTAATTTTTTTCCTTTTTCTCCTCAAGGCCCCCCAGTACATAGTTGTACATTCTTAGTTGTGAGTCCCTCTAGTTGTGGTATGTGGGACACTGCCTCAGCGTGGCTCGATGAGCAGTGCCATGTCCGTGCCCAGGATTCGAACCAACAAAACACTGGGCTGCCTGCAGCAGAGTGCGCGAACTTAACCATTTGGCCACGGGGCTGGCCCCTTGAGGCAAATTTCTAATCTACTCAGGCCTCGGTTTCTCCATGTGTAAAGTCACAAAGATTAACAATAACATATGCAATAATATTTGCAAAGACCTTAGCACAATTTGTAGTACATGGTAGGTGATCAATAACTGGTGGTGGTTATATGAAAAATAAAGATAATATCTAATTGTTGTCATCTAGGTAAGTAAATTAGGCAGGGTGTCTTGATGGTATAAACTTTCTGTGATGATGCTAGTGTGTTAGAGTTTTCCATTTTCCCATGCTGGCCTCATTTGGGACCTATTTATGTCTTTGATCCAAGAGTAAGTCTAAACAGAATCTCCCTTCCATGCACACCGCCAGCCAGGCAGCTCTATGTTGGTGGTGAGGAGCATTCCAGACCAGTGGTAGAATGGGGTTGTGTATATTGGCTGAGGTTCTTGTTGGATCTAGAATTTAGAATCCCACCCTTGGTTCTAGGTCTAGTACTTCCTACTGTGTAATGTGCATCTTTGTATTTCCAATGCTTAATCGTATTTGCTCAATCAGTGTTTGTTGATGATTTGGGTGAATAAATGTAAAAATGAATCTCAGGGAATATGATGGCTCCATAAATCATTAGGGTTTTCCCGATTATCTGCTGCTGTTTGTTTCAGGGATCTATCTGAAAAAGAAAGCATTTTGACAGGTGACCTTTAACTTACTAACTTGCTAAAAAGACAGAAAACAGGAAAAGGGTGGGAGTTTTTCATGACTAAAACACAGTTATGTTAAGTCCATGGTGGGTATTCCAGGCATTCTGGAAGCATCTTCCTCGTCAAGATTTAGGCTAAATTTGAGCTTGATGTCTAATAACATCCAGACCTGTTTCCTAGGCACCCTGAAGGTCTAACATGTTTTCCTGGATGAGTCATATTGTGGGGCCTTTAACTAACTATAATGTGATGTGGGCAGTGCAATGACTGAATTGTTTTAGAAATATCTACAGGCAACTCTGGGGGTACAAAGGAGGCAAACGTTTTTGCTGTCTTATATTTGTCTAGGATTCTCATGGAAAACTAGTGGCTTAAAGTTTTTAAGGCCTCTATTTTGATTGAGTTCTGCATCAGAAACTGGGGAGGGCAATAATGCAAGGACAGATCCAGGTTTTGTGGGGTCTGAAGGTTTAGACAATTTAGGTTGATCTATTTAAGAGAAATAATATAAAGATCATAAATAAAAATTAGAAGGGCTGGCCTGGTGGCGTAGTGGTTAAGTTTGCACACTCCACTTCAGGGGCCTGGGGTTTGCAGTTTCAGATCCTGGGCATGGACCTACACACTGCTCACCAAGCCATGCTGTGGCGGCACCCCACATACAAAATAGAGGAAGATTGGCACAGATGTTAGCTCAGGGTCATTCTTCCTCACCAATATATATTATATATATATATATATATTAGATATAAAAGTAAGTACTTAATTAGAAGAGATTCTTGCAAGTGGAGGTCCCAAAGCTTGAACTTCATTAGCTTCTTATAAATGTGCCTCTGTAATACTGGAAACAAAATTTTCAGACAAAGAATTTGTTCTAGCATGTTGATGGACGGGACATTTCCAAACATTTACCAGTAAGAGAAACGTATGTATGTGATAGACATTAAGTGCCAAGTGCTCAGAGCAGAGGGAAGCGGGGCTGTAGGGAAGACAGAAGGGGCCACTCTAAATTACATGTCCAGGCAGTCTTCAGTTAATGGGAATGTTTAGGGAACTGGAAATTCTTGAGTTTACTTTTCAGATTAATCAAAACCAAAAAGATATTTATTGGCCGTCAAAACTTTTTCTAAATACTTTTTTTTCCAAATTTTCTTGTAGATTTAAAAAATTTTTTAAAAAGTCAATCAATGTACTTCACCCATTGAGATTAAAGGAGAAAAGAAACCAAATAATTACTTAAGGGAGGAAAAATGATTAAGTATTTACTTCCCTGCTTAATAGAAAGTCCTCTGTTGCTTGGGTGACTGAAGTTGCACCTGTACCTGGTGGGGACAGGGGTGCTGGCCTCCTTAACAGCCACTCAGAGGTCATTTGACTGATCTACCTGTGGTGGGGACATTGGTTTGATTGAGGTGAAGCTGGCACAAGAAAAATTATTGAATGGATGAATGAATGAAATGAATGGTTCCAGTTTGAACAAACGAGGTCAGTTCAGAAAGCAATTTTTATTCCTAAGAATTTTGTAATTAAATTTTATCAGACTCTTTTGAATGCACTGAACATTCCTTCCTGAATACGGCCGAGAGCTGATGGCGAAAGGATTAGGACTGAGTGCCTGACGTACGCCAGATATTTTGTCTGATGTTTTGTCTATGTATTCAAGCTTTGTAACCATTTTGCAGTTGAGGAAACCAGAGCTTAGAGGGCTTAAATAGTTTGTCGGTGGCCTTACAGGGAGCAGGTGGCGGAGGCAAGATTCAGATCCAAGTTTGTGTGTCCAGGGCTCCTTCTCTGACTCGCTAACTTGTCATTTGGCCTTTTCTTTCCAGTAAACGTGAAAGACATATGGGACAGAGACTTCAGCTACAGGTAGGAAGGATTATAAAGAAGAGAGTGTGGTGTGGTGAAAAGTCATCCTGCTTGTTCTTCAGTAGTATGTGATTTGGGGTCTTAAATCACCCATCTGTGAGCCCAGAGGGTGGGACTAGATGATCTCTGAGTGGGGTGACAGCATGGCCCTGTTTGCAGGGACAGCCCGATTTATACCTGTTGTGCCAAGGTAAGTATTATTAGCACCCCCTTCAAGAGTGGTCATTGTGGATCATAAATTCTAAGGCTGCCCTACATATATGGTGGTTTCCAGGTCTTAATTTCTGTTACTTCAAACTGAATCTAATAATTTCTTTGATGATTGAAAGAACATGAATTTTCATTTTTGAGGCCTGCGAGTTATACCTGATGTCTAGAGGTTGTTTTGCATTTCTGATACGGATATTTTTTCTGCGATTGCCCCTTTCCTTTAAAAGTATACACTAGTAAATCCCCTTCTAGTCAATTTAGTTCTGGTTAATTTGGAATCATTATATAAATATTTGTTTCCTACTTAATTCTAATAGTGGCCACCAATTAGTGAGTGCTTAGAATAAGTCAGGCTAAGAGCTGAGTGTTTTATTTAATACACTTATTAATGCTGTTAGTTACTCACTTTCTAGATAAGAAACTGAGGCTCAGAGAAGTGACTTGCAGGTAAGAGATGAAGGCAGGTGTTCTTAATCTCTTAACCATTATATTGAGATATGCACACACACACAGCAGATAATTTAAAAAATCATCAGGCCTCCTAAATTCTCCTTGGCCTTCCCTGTATTTCTCAGTGTCAAGGCTAGTCCTTGTAATTTCATCTTCCGTTGCTTCCACCATCCATGTTCACTTCAGAGGAGAAGCATCTGCCTTAAGTAAACAGACAACAGATTTCAACTAAGATTCAGGTTCTCAGGAAAAACAAATAAGGGGTTAGAAAGTGAATGCGATGAATATTTACTTCCTTATATGGACCTTTTTTTTTTTTGAGTTTGTCTTTCTTTACCAGAGTATAAAACAGAAAACAGACACTTGTATTTCCTGTATATTTACATAGATAATAGTTAAATAAAAACCGCCAGTTGACACTCTTATCATTCTGCTTTTATTTATTGTCTGGCTAACTTACAAAGACACAGATGTCCAGGCTAGACTCAGCCCCACCACTTAAACGATCCTGATGACACAGATAACAAAATGAGCATGTTTGCATAGTGCAGTGGTATGAAAAACATTATCTTCCTTTACAGTCCCTGACTATAAACAGGGAAAAATTAATTTCATGCCAAAAATTTTTGGGCACTTTAACAATCATCCCATTTCTGCTACTAAAATAACAAAATTGATATTACAAGTTAAAATATAAAGACCTAACAGTTTTTACAAATATGCAAATAATCTGCGAATACGTAGACATAAAAAAGTTGATTTTTTCCAAATCACAAAGTAAGGCACCATTGGATTAAACATTTTTTTCTCGGCTTTTACTAAATAAAATGCATAGTGAAATAAATACTGAACACTGAATTTTAATACTGTAATACATTTCAATATAAAATGGTATGTGAATGTTAAAATTCTGTATTGCATCTTGAATACATTTATCTGGAAATCTTATGGAAAAAAAACACATGGAAGCTCTGATTTCAGGGAAGAAAATATTCATTTTTGTGATTTGCCATAGTTGAAGATTTTAGCATAGGATTTACTCAGAGTTTTGGATGTAATTAGGTTGCTGACTTTCAAAGAAAGGTCGCAGGTGTATTAATGAAACATTCACTAAAAAATACATTCGAAAACATCTCTATCTTGGATGAATAGCAACTTTGAGTTGTGACCCTGTTTCAAACTTTAGGATGGTACCTGCAAAGTTGGGATATATACGGAAACTCGCCATTCTTACTACCCCTTACAAAATTCAAACCCATTTTCTTTGGGTCAGACTTTTCTCTGCCATATTTGCTAGGAAGGCCAAACTCCATCTTTTCTGCAGTGAGTCATTAGGCTTTATCACAGGGATTTTTATCAACTGTTCATATCTAATCCAAATAAAATGATGCTCCCAGAATATTAGAGATTAAAACGCTTTTTTGAAAATACTTTTCCAAGCTGGTTACACCTTTATATTTCTGGATTCTCTTTGGGTACAGGGCCCCAAGTGACTGTATGAAAGACAGACGAATAGTAGAGGAGAAGGGGGAAGAAAAAGTTCACTAAACCTAGTATTTCTGGCAAGGAAAGTTATAAAAATACAATATATTCAAATGGGCAACTTCATAATTTATTAAGACATCCCACTTATTAGAACTCTAAGTTTGTTTGCTTTTATATAAATGAAACATTTATTCTATAAATAGGAATGCTTCTTTCAAATTTTTCTTTGGATTGATTTCTTGTTAGCATCTCCCAGTAATACATGAACAATACACTGAAACCATGATACAAATTTTAGGTAGACAGACATATACATATGTGGCTGTGTGCTTTTAAAAAATAAGTAATGATAATTTTAAACATCATCAACCATATAAAAATCTAATTGGAAATATTTTTTTTTCCAATTCTATAGCTAGATTTAAAAGTCCCTGTAAAGTTTTGTAAACAAAATCATACAAAAAAAGGCAAGGCTGGCTCTTCCCTATGGTCCTTTCTCAGAGCTCAATTTGCATAGATCCAAGCCAATGGTTCTCCTGGAGACATTCAGAACAAATTCCCTCCAATTTCCAGTAGCAATCTCTCTTTCTCTCAACTCCCTAAGCATCAGATTTAGATTAGCGTTTTGCCCATCAACTCAAATCTGTTCCCTTCTTCCACATTTCTGGTTTGCTACCATTCCCTGACTTTACCCCCAGCTACGGAGCCTACAACTTCCCCCCATGAGGAGCCAGCTGGGTGGGAGAGAGAAGCTGCTTCAAATGCTAAAGGCAGGAGTCCAGCCGACAGGTGAGCTCCAGCCAGCTGGTTCTGTGCCCGAAGCACCAACTGGCTCTCAGTTTCTTTCCAATGGCTTTATTCCACGTGGCTGTAAACCCTATCAGATCAATTTCTGACCTTGGGACTGTGAAGCAACACTTGTCTACAGATATTAGGGAAGAGGGAAAACAAGGGAGCCAAACCTCAGGTCAAGATGTCTGTCAAACAAGGTGTCGGGTCCAACTTTATCTTTAGTTACCTCTTTAATTGCTAAAGCTCATCTTGCCTTTTCTGTTTTTTAAACAAGAGGTTTTCGCACTAGTGTCTATTGTCTAGACCTGCGCTGTCTGATATCGTAGCCACCAACCACACCTGGCTATTGAGCACTTGAAACGTGACTATCCAAAATGGAGATGTTCTCTAAGTGTAAATTACACACTGGATTTTGAAGACTTAGTACCAAAAAAAGAACGTAAAATATCTCATTATTTGTTATATTGATTGCAGGTTGAAATAATATTTTGGATGTTAGGGTTAAATAAAATATATTAAAATTAATTTCACCTATTTCTTTTCCTTTTTTAATGTGGCTACTAGAAATTTTTCAATTGTATATGTGGTTTACATTATATTTCTACTGGACAGCTCTGTCCTAGAGCTTTCTTCAGACTATCAAAGATTGGACATCCTATAACTGCAAAAATTTTAGGAGCGCCCTCGTGCAGCAATTTGCTTAGAGAGTCTGTGGTTCACGGAAACAGACAGGAGGCCAAGCATGCAAAAGAGGCGGGGAAGCAAACAGCTCTCAGGGACTTTAATATTATAGCCTGGAGGAAATAAGCAGTGAAAGTTTGGATTTGGTTGGTTGAAAGCTGGGACAAAATTCATCTCTGCCTACTTGCCACAAAAGCCTATCCACCCCCAAGCAGCCAACACTGGTGGGCTGTAGCGGAAGCAAGCAGTAGCTTGAGAATATACACAATATAAAAACCTAGGTGCCTTTCTCACTGCATTCCCACCCCCCACACATATTCCCACATCACCCTCCCTTCTTCCCTACTGCCAATATGAAGAGGACAAGAGAAGGGAAGGAAGGTGTGCAGCTCTCCACAGCAACAACACAAGTAGCTCTTGGGCTTGGGTGGAGAAGAGCAGGCAAGGATCACCTCGGGGTGGGAGGAAGCGGTGGGGCACCCCTTTCTCTTCGGTTGGATCCACCTTGATGAAAAAGTAGACAAAACATAAATTTTGGTTAGAAAGCTTATCTTCTCACTGTAGAGACTCAAGGATGGTTGCAAAAGTACCCACTATCTCACTCCCTATGACCAGGGCTGTAACAACTGGCACACGTGAACGAGAAGGGACAAGCGAAGGGAAGCAAGCAAGGATCTGAACAAACATTACTAGAGAAGGATGACCTGCCCCCAAGTACTTGCACAAAGTTAAGAAAGCTAAAAAAAAATTTACTTTTCTTCTTATCACAAATGTAGTATGTGTTTATTATACATTTAGAAAATACAGATGAGTAAAAACAAAACAAAAAATTCACCCATGCTTGTACCACCCAGTGATAAGCAAAAACATTATTTGTATATTTTCCATTTGTTTTTTTACATATAAAGTTCCCTTTTTTCTCCCCAAATTGGATCATTTAGTGGCAGTTTCATAGTCATTCCTCTTTACAAATATAGTTATTAATGACACATTGCCTTCTATTACATATGAACACTATGGTCTATTTATCTAATTAATCCCCTTTTGTTGAGCATGTAGGTATCTTCTGATTTCTAAACAAGGCTTTTCTGATGGTAGCCATCTTAATGAGTATGAAGTGGTATTTTAGTGTAGTTGTATTTGCATTTCCCTAATGATTAGTGATGTTGAGCATCTTTTCATGTGCTTATTGACTATCTGTATATCTTCTTCAGAGAAATGTCTATTCAACTCATTTTAAAAATTGGGTTGTGTTTTGGTTGTTGAATTGTAGGAATTCTTTATATATTCTGGATATTAATCCTTTATCAGATAGATGATTTGCAAATATTTTATCCCATTTCAGGGACTGCCTTTTCACTCTGTTGATAGTGTTCTTTTAAAAACTATGCATATTTGTGGGCTATCAGTGCACCGTAATAAGGTTTAAAATCCATTCACAATTTTTTAAATTCAGTTGTCCCACACACATTTTTTTGAGGCTCTTACAGGTGTTGAGCATGAAGCCAGGTGCTCAGATGCTGTGAGCCAGTCTACCAGGGACACATGTCATTGAGTAGATCTGCTACGGCCACTGCTCTGAGACTCAGGTGGGCTGGCACCAACAGATTCCTCAAGCAGACATCTTCACAGCGGCCCTAGTAGCCCACTTAGGGACTTCTGAGATAGAGCCAAACCTCTGAGCAAGGGGAGGAGTTAGAGGCCAACACTGCAGTTCATTACCTTGTCTCTTCCTCCTACCCTCCCAACCAAGTCTTTTTGTGGGCAAGCATCTAAGGAAAAACTCATTTGGATGTAAACCAGCCATCTGTCCTAAGGCCTTGACTGTCAGCTGACACACCACAAGTGGTCAGCAAAACGAAGGCCGGCCTCGTGCAAAGCTATAATTAGGTGGCACTGCTCAGGGCTGTCTGGGTGCCCTACCAGGCTGTGGGCCTGGAGGCCAAGGCAGCTACAGGAGCAGAATAAAACCACTTAATAATACGTGATTTATTTTTGTTAGAGAGATGATCCCTTATCATTATAAAATATTAAACATGCATAATGCTACAAACAGTTAAAGCAAATCTACAAAAACACTTTTAGGGGACAGTGGAAATTAATTCACCAATTTAAGAAGTATTTTTAAATGTCTAACATTTTTCAGAATCTGTGCCACTTGATGGAGGAGCCATAGTGAGGACGACATAGTTCTAGTCCTCAAGTTTTGGATAGTCTTTTTTTTTTTTTTTGAGGAAGATTAGCCCTGAGCTAACATCTGCTGCCAATCCTCCTCTTTTTGCTGAGGAAGCCTGGCCCTGAGCTAACATCCATGCCCATCTCCCTCTACTTTATATGTGGGATGCCTACCACAGCATGGTGTGCCAAGTGGTGCCATGTCTGCACCCAGGATCCAAACTGGTGAACCCCAGGCCGCTAAAGCGGAACGTGCGAACTTAACTGCTGCGCCACCTGGCCGGTTGCTGGATGGTCTTAAAGACAGGAGGATGGGGTAGGGTGTGTGTTCACCTATTAAATTAAAAATCTAGAGCCATTGGCGAGATGGTTCTGTTACTGACTTAAATATACAAATAATATTTAAATTAGATTAAGAATGCTTACAAGAAGTCAGGAAAAAATATTTAAAGTCTATGTGAACAACTCCATAAAGTGAATTCATTTATTAGTACCCAAGAGCGGAGAAAACCAGGCTGTACTCTTATCAGACAGAACCCCTCTTCTGATGTACACACACACACACGCACACTACATGCATGCACACATAAACACAGAGAGACGACTCAAAGATATTTGTTCCATGTGAAGACTGATATTTCACCAAAAATTTCAACCACTAACTCTTGTACGATAATTTTATTATAGTTATACCTTTTTTATTAGGCATCATCTAGAAATGCAGTATTCCACATAAACGAGTTTTTCCAGGAATTAAACTTTTTCTTTCAAGCAGCAATATTTTGTTTACTTCTGGCATTTGCTCATGGAAATTTTCCTAAAATAGTTTCTAATTCTTTGAATTCTTCAACAGAGGCACAAAGCACAGTCTGACCTGTTCTTAACCCAACAGAAACATCTGGTATTGTCCTGTGCTGTAATACATAGCACAACTCTGTGTCCCTATTTCCTCTTTTGACCCGAGACTGCCACCTATCAATTCTCCCTGAAGTCAGTGATTTTGAGTCTAACCAACCTTAATCTCAGCTGATATTAATCTGCTCTAACGCTGGGAACCAGCCAACCAAAAATCAAGAACTGTGTGTTAAGAAAAAGTCGGTAGGCTCTGATTATGTATAAGGAGCTCTATTAGGGAGTGAGGACGAGGTTAAGGACACTGTGACAGTTACTTGACACGCTCAAACACTTTTTCTCCACACATTCCTGGTTTTGGAGTTTGGTTCTAAAACTAAGGTTGTCGCAAGTCTGAGCCTCATCAGTGATATATGTATATTTCATACCAGTTGTTTCTTCTATAAATTTAATGTTATGAAATACCAGTTTTTCTATTTCCTCTTTTTGATTAAAGTTTTTTAAATAGGAAAAGTGATTTACTTCTTTTTTTGTTGTTGTTAAAAAATTTTAACTTATTTCTATTAGAATTTGTTTGTTGTGGTAAAGTGTTACATAACATGAAACTTACCACGTTAACCATTTTTAAGTGTCCAGTTCTGTGGCATTGAGTACATTCACATTGTTGAGCAACCATCACCACTGTCCATCTCCCGAACTTTTCCATGTTCCCCAACTCAAACTCTGTACCCATCTAATACTAACTTCCCATTCTCCCTTCCCCGCTATGATTCACTTCTTTATGTAGCATTACATATATTAGCAAAAAAACCCCAGAAACAATCTAAATGTCCAATAATGGTAAACTAAACTATTATATGCTGACTTGATGCAATCCTATAAAATAAAATAGGGAAGTGTTTACTAAGCAATGTTATATAAATCCTACCACCAAAAACCATACTCTATAATTATAACTATATGAATTTGTCAGAATTAGATGGATAAAAATTGGAAGAGAACTTGGTAAAATGAAAATATCTGTTATGTTATGTGGAGAGATTATGGGTATACTTAACATTTTCATGTAATGCTCTGTGAAGCTATAATTATAACATTTAAAAGATCAAAGCAGTTACAGTGAGTTTTTGTTATAATTAATAAGACATTTTGCGAGTCTCAAAACTAGCAGGAGTAGAAGATGACTCTATTTGTGCCATCTTAGGAAGATCAAAATGGGGAAGGACTGTCCAAACAGGCAAAACAATAACATGTCATCTACTCGCAAACCAAAGGTATTTTGAGTTTGTAATGACCCATTAAAATAATCGTTTCTCATATGCATTCTGGATCTCTCCATTTCCTCATGTGCGTAGAAGGGGAGTTTACCAGAGGTGAGATGGCTCCAAATCCAGGAGTGATTTCTCTGCAATCTCCCCACTGCAGGCAAGAAGCCTGGGCGTCCTATGCAACCCTCAGCTGTATGTAACCCAGCCTACTCCAATATGAAGCCAGCAAAGCCCCTGCAGAAATACTTACTTCGGCTTTCACTTCTTGCCAATTTACTGGGATAAGTTTTGGCCGTTGGGACATATGGCTCTGGAGGTGGCAAATCAGAAATTGGATGGAAGTAGAATCTGCTTTCCCATTCATCTGAGGGAGAGAACAAACAGGATCTTCAGAAACAGACAATCTGCTGTGAAGACTTATGTCACGAAAGGCACAGAATACAACAGAGACAGAACTGCAGAGATGGCTTCCAGTTTTATGCCCAGAAGTTTAGAGAAGAGCTGGAAGTTCTTTTAATGTCACTGACCGGCACCTGAGTGAAATACCCCGACGGGTCCAAGTGATTTCAACAAGAGTGACAAGGGCCCTCTCCGGAGCTCGGGGCTGAGGTTTGGGACACCTTTCTTAATTATTCCTCCCACCAGTGGAAGGAGTGACTGAGACCCCCTGATAACAGTGGCAGAGGTAAGCTACTTAATGCCTGCAGCCATCGGGCCTCTTGCCTACAGCAAACTGTTTAGAAGGTAGGCAATAAAAAGGTAAGCTACAAAAATGGTTCTTTTCAGAATTCTGGAATCTCTGGAAAGTTAACCAAAATGAGACTCAAAGAAGAAACAGAGAAAAATGAGGTGTCTTTTTGGGAAGTGGAAGAAGGGGATTACTATTTTTAATTTGAAATCATGGTGGCCCTAAAATGGTTAGACAGACCAGAGTACTGCAGTGTGATAACACGGAGGGTCATACAAATAAGAAATGTGAATGCAAACACACAACACACCCAAACAAATCTGCCATTCAATTACTGTCCTGTAGCTTGTACATTTCCAAGGAGTGGGACCACGCCTCACCTTCACAGGAAGAGTCTTGGAAGCCGTTTCTAATTGATGTTGATGGTGGAGGTGGGGGAGGCGCCCCAGCGCCAGGCCTGTCAGGAGGAAGAGGAGGCCTGGGCCCACTCCTGGGACCATCTACTACACTCCTGGACGGCAACTGAGGGGTGGCAGGCAGGGCCCGAGACGTGCTGCCGTTTCTGTTTATTGGAGGAGGCGGTGGGAGAGGGCCTGGAGCAAAAGAAAAGACAACATTTAGTGCAATACCTTACATCCTACATTTCTATTATCATGGTCACCATCAACATGCAATTACTGAGTGCCTGCTGGATACATGCCCTTTTACTAGAGAATATGGAGAAATGGTAGAGACTTCCTGGAGATTTTGCTGAAAACAGAGTAAGTACAAATAAACACAGAAATGCACATATGTACACACATATGTGAGAAGAGTGTATATTGATAGCTAAATGGCTATTCTGGCTTTGAGTTAGTATTGAGGCTGGAGATGATACAGTTATGTTGAGAAGAGGTGATAATCTGTTTATATGACAAGTGTTTACTTTAAAAAACATTTTATGACCCTTTTAAATAACTAATGAAGTAATTACTCCAACATGATACTTATTAAATAAGTGCTATTTAAAAACAATTTTTAAAGAAGAAGATATGAAGTTATTTTAGGCCTTCAGAGGGACTTCAAAGGGACTTTAAACGCACAGTATTATTGCTAATTACAAAGCATATTTCTGTGATGCACACGATCTGTTTCCAGGCAGAAGTGGCATCAGGAAACCAAATATCAGTCATGCTGAGAACAGGGGAGTTCCTTCTTGGTTCTTCCTCTTTGGGGAGGCAAATTAACACAGGAATGACAAACAGCTCATCGATGTGCACGCTGTAAACGCTGGTGCAGGACCCGCCCCGAGCGAGCTGGGTAGCCATGAACTTAATTTCCCATCTACAGAAGAGCACCCAACAGCCACCTTTCTCACCGCACTGCTGCCAGGGATAATTACTCCAAAAGCACACAAAAAGTACCATATAAGTATTTGAAGCCATTTTTAAAAATGCAGTGGTGTGGTATAATCAGAAAATCTTAAGTTCCTAGAAAATAATTCAAAGTAAATTCTTGTTTTTGATAATATAAAATAAACCTATCTTGCTTGTCCCATCTTCCAAATGCAAAGGCTCTTTGGGTCATGAGTAAATTAAAAGAAAAAAAAAAAAGAAAAAGGAACTTAGCATTCCCATGCAAATCCAAATGGCCTTAGTAATTATTCCTGATCTGCAGTAGTGTGCTCCACCTGCAAGATGCTGACATTTTATGTAAACACTAATCTTCTGGCGCTATAAATATGAGTATCTCTTGTTACTACAGAGTCAGAATCCAACTAGAGGACCTTAAACTGAATGACCCACCCATTGCAGATCTCTCTGCCTGGAAGTCTTGGCTTGGATACCTGATGGAGGTGAGAGGCAAGGCCAGCTCTGGTTGGTCTCTCAAGGAGTCCTCAGGGCCTCACCTGGTAGGGCTTATTTATTGCCCCATCTGCTTGTCATTGCTGGAGTCCCAGTCAGTAGGAGTAGATTTACTCGGAGGGAAAGTGTCTTGCATGCTGTGGGCTTAATTTCACTGGTACTACCACCACTACCACAGCTGTCAGTAAAAGCCAACTAGACATCCAGTATTATGGGGCCGGGTACTATGTAACTTGATCGACTTTATCTCTCTTTCTCTTTTTAAGTAAACATTCATGTTCCTAATTCTCCAACCTTCCAGCTCCCTGCTCCAAACCTAGGCAAGCATAATAGAAAACAAAACAGACTTCTATTTCCCTTTGGCAGCATAATAATAAAAGTGATCATTTATTGAAGGCTACTACATGTTACCACTATACACATTTGTCTCATTTAATTCTTACAACAACCCTGAGAGGTGTAGGGACAGCAGACAAGGCCTCAGAGGTGTGGGAAGGTTAAAAAGCCCAAGTCAGGAGGCTAATGAGTGGAAAAGTCAGGATTTCATGCCAAATCTGTCAAATTCTAAAGCCCACTCCCATGACAATGAAGCCAAGCCACCTGTCAAAATATAGATGGTCCTTGATGACCTCTCATATGTTCCTTGTGGGAATGCAAATTGGTAGGAATTTTCTAGAGGCCAATTTGGCAGTTTCTTTGAAATCCAGAGTTTACTATGCACACCTATTAACCTAGAAAGTCCATTTCTAGGAATGCATTCAAAGGAAATACATAGAGATATGCACAAACATTTAGCTATAAGAATGGATCCCTGCATTATCTAGAACAGCAAAAACCTAGAGATGGCCTGTATGACCAAGTGAGGGATTCATAAATCAAGGTACTTTTGTAGGATTTAATATTATGCTGCCATTAAAAGTCAGGTTATAGAGGAATAATCATATCAGGAAATGTTAGTGAGATATTGTTAAATAAAAAGAAAATTACCAAACATATATAGTGTGATAGTGATTTTGTAAAAATGTATATATATGCATTTTTAAAAGACTGAAAGAATATATAAAAAATGTTATCAATGATTATTTCTGGATGTTGGTGGTAGCAGGATTATGGATGATTTTTATTTTTTTTATAGTTTTCTGTCTCTTCTATAATAAACAGGCATGACTTATGTAATTGAAAGAAACAATAAATGTTATAATTATATGTCACTGCCTATCTTATTTTGGGGAAGATTTAATCTGTTAATTCATCCATTTGGTAGAGCCATACAAACAGCTCCATAGCTGTTGGATAAGAAGAAAATGTTGCAATTAATTCATCCGACTACCTAGTCTCATTTGTTCATTGAAGAATACTTAGTGAGATGCCACTCTGTCTAGGGATTGGATTGAAAGGACTAACTTTTTTTATGTGTAGCCAACTGTCCGTGGCAGAGTGGTTTGAAGGAGTGGTTCTCAGACTTTGCTGCACATTAGTTACTGAGGAGCTTGCAAATGTCCTAATGCCCAGTCTGCAACCAGACCAATGAACCCAGAAACCTGGGGATGGGACCCAGGCGTCCACAGTTTTTAAAGCTCCCCAGGTGATTCCAGTAAATGGTCAGGTCTGAGGTCTACTGGTTTGAAGAGCGATTTATTAGGTTCCTGAGGTCACAGGGTCAAAGGTCAGTTGGATTCTCCTAAAGAAAAAAATGCCCCATTACCAGACATCTTGGATGTATGATAAGGTTAAATTTAAAAAGCAGATCTACTGAATCCACCAATAACCACTGTGAAACACAAAAGTGCTTCTTACAATTAGGAGAGAGAACGCAAACTCTGGGCAATCCTCACACTGCATTTCATACTCTGAAATGAAACCTTTCCTTAGATCCAGGTTTCTTACCCCTGGGCAGGGGGCACAGATGGGCTTTGGCAGTTCAATCCATGACACAGCAAGCAAATTTTGAGTTTATGCTTATGAGCATTTTCATGAAGAGAAAGCCTATACTTTTATCTCATTCTCCAAAGGATCCATGTGCCAGAGGTGTTAACAAATAGCAAAACAGACTGTGACACTTGTCTTCAATGACCAGGGAAGTGGCCTCAAAGCTTGACAGGTGAGAAGTACAGGAGAAGTTCATTAGCTCTTAAATAACTGCCTTTCTTGTTGGAATAATGAGGCGCTCCAGCAGGAGATGGGAATTTATTTCCCCAGGAAAGACAGCTGAGAGTCCCTCTGGGAGGCAGGGTAGTAGAGTGGCGCGATGGAAGTTCTAGCCTCTTCCTTTATTAACTAGCCTGTGATGACTTAATTTTATTGGTTACATGGTCCTTATCTCTAAAACATGGACAGAAACATTGGCCCCACTTTCTTCAGAGGTCTCATGAGGTCAAGAGGAAATCATACGTGGGAAATGTCACTTAGAAGATTAAGGCAGTCTGAGAGTTCACGTAGGCTTTTGTTGGACTCCATTCACATTTATGATATATTATTAGGGACATTTGGCCGGCTGGGTTGTAGGGAGACAACTCACCCCATGTCTTGCCATACCTGATCTGCCGGGTGGGTCCCTCACAGGAGGAGGGGGTCTCTCATTGGGCGGGGGAGGAAGAGGGCCGGAACGTCCAGATGAAGGTAAGGGAGGTGCAGATGAAGAGAGGGACAAATTCCGCTGTGGGAGCCTTGGGATTTCGTCACTGCCACTGGAACCTGGAGGCAGGGGAGGAG